TCGTTCAGGAGCTTGAACTTCTTTGCAGAGTACGCAGCTTTCACATTGCAGATCAACTCCTGGTCCATGGGCTGGATTAATGACGTAGTGTTGGGAGGAAGGAAGACCACTTTTACGTTGGGGTGACGATCCATAAGTAGGGGCGAGTGTCCAGGTGCGTTGTCAAGGAGCAACAAAATGTTGAATGGAACATTCTGTTGCTCGCATAATTTCTGCACGTCAGGAACAAAACAGTCGTCAAACCAGAAGAGGGACAGAGAAGAGGACATCCACGCCTTACGTGCGGTTAGCCAGTGGACATTAAGCTTGTTCATGTCCATATTCTTGTAGGCGTGCGGCTTGCGGGCTGTGTGAATCACCGATAACTTTGGTTTACAGGTACCGGAGGCATTGGTGGTAAACAGGACGGTGATGCGTTCCTTCTGCTTCTTCCGGCCCCGAATTTTGCTGGCATTCTTTACAACGAAGGTCTTGGACGGTAGCTTTTTCCAGAAAAGACCAGATTCGTCCATGTTAAACACCTGGTCGTCGGTGTACTGTCCTTCCTCCATAATCTCACGTAAGAACGGAGGAAAATCTCTAGCCGCCACACGGTCAGCACTCGCTTCCTCACCACCAATGTTGATGTTGGTGATCTTGTTCCTCTTCTTAAACCTATACAGCCAACCAGAGGAAGCATTGAAGGGTTTGGGCTCTGCAATTCCCAGCTTACGTGACACTGCTGCGTATAGCTCACGTGCGTACTCCTGCACTGAGCGCGTGTCCACCGCCATGTTGCGTCGCACCTGATGAATCAAATAACTCACCAGCAAATTTTCCACTTTTGCCAGCACCCTGTTCTGGCAATACCTGATCGTTGAAGCACCTGCAGACTTTGTGATTTTCATGTGCTCTTTGATCTTGGCTGCATCCTTCTTGATAGTGCGAATCGTAGATTCGTTGACGCCATGCTGGCGCGCGAGATCAACTTGCCGTGTTCCTTTCTCCAAATCTTGAATGATCTGGTACTTCACTTCGTAGCTTAGACCACGGCGTGTCTTCTTGGGCTTAGGGTGGCTGGGTCCAGGTAAGGAAAGGTCTCTCTCTGGTGGCGGTGGTGGTCCGGCGGAAGCCATTTCACAGAACAATGGGTTCACGTATACACGGAGTGGCCTGGAGGGATGAAACTGCCGCGGCTAGGTCAAGCGTCGTCTTTCCTCCCTCCCTCCCTCCCTCCCCCGGGTGGACACGTCATAATACTTTAAGCCAATTACAGCTAGCAGCAGAGGGGGGTAGGGATGCATGGCCAATCACAGTCCGATACGGCATATGACGTCAGTGATAACGCAACAGAGAAATGCACTGCGCAACCTTACAGCGCGGCTTGCCCAAGCGGAGGGAGGAGGCGGGAGCAGGCGGGTGGGGCGAATCTAAAAATAGCGTCTCGAGCCGGACACTCGCCGCGTATACGTGGAAAAAACCCGCGTTAAGTGAAAGTTCGGCTCTGGCGAGGCACCGCGTATACGGTAAAACGCGCTAAGCGAAACCACGTTAAGCGGGGTATTACTGTACTGCACTTTCTGTTTAATATGGTGGGGGAGTCTGGGGGTGGAGCCCCCTGGCCAGTTAGTTATGTAAGGTAAGGTAAGGTTAGGTATGTTTCTTTGATTGGTTAGGTCAGGTTCTATTTGGTTCTAGTAAATGCGGCCTCTTTTAAAATACTTGCTATAATGATAAGATAAGAACATTTGTGGAAAAAATGAACAACTCCATCTGGTGGTAGCAGTGTTCTCATACATTACGATATTTTAAAAGAGTTGACAACCTTTTATTTTAATTACAGTACTCATCTGTAGAGAGCAGGGAATGGAGGATGAGGGAAATTGCGGGGTAAAACACAGTGAAAAACTGATCACATGACACTAAAATAACATCTCTATGTGCTTTGTATGTGAAGAAAATAAATATTTACTGTAAATATTCCTCCAAAAAATCTGCAGTCACCGAGTGTCCTCGTAGTTTTTACACTGATTATGGTTAATATTTAGTAGTAGCCAACACCTAACCGAATATTGAGTCATATATGGGGAGCTATAGAAAAAAAATAAAAATAATTTATTCTATAACATTTCCGTTGGAAATTTATAGTCTTAGTTATTATTATTTTTATTTTATAATATTTGGCCAATCAGTGTGTGTTGATGTGACATCATAGTTGTGCACTAATTAGCACAAGTCTCCATTCCCAAGCTGTTAAAAGATGGCATCTGTGTGAAAAGGATCGCCATGCATGGTACTGTGGTAAGAAACAGACACCACTTCCTCATTCAAGTCACATCACTCTATCCTCCTCTATCTCTTATTTAAGGTAAGTTTCTTACACACTAGGGATTTTACTTATTTATTACGTTTTTACCCTGTTTCACGTGTAGTGGATTCCTACCCTACAAGCACCGAACCTTCTCGAATTCCCCAGCCTACGCCTCCAACGCCGCCCACAGAGCGGGGGTCAACTATCTACCCACGCCTACCCCCGCCTTATAAGGCCTGACACCGCTGTTACCACTCTCTTTCTACCCAGTGCCACCAGCAAGCAACACCACCTCCTCCGCGCCTCCCGCCAGCGACCTTGGCGTCCCTCAAGCTGCGTGCCCTCACTCTGGGCACCCTCACCACCCAGCTCTCTCTACTCAACGCTTATTACCATGCTACCTACCCAGCAACAAACTGCATTGTACATCCAATACAATATGTATACAGTGAGCACATTGTGAGTTTCCTTTCTCCATCCCATCCTGAGTGTGAACCCAAACATCTCATACCCCACAGATGTTCCATTTTTTTTCAATATCTCAACTACTGCTCATTCCCGACAGCAATGAAGGTCATATTTTTATTTAACACGAATTAGGTGTTGGCAACAACTAAATATTTACCCTGATTACTTTCAGTTCTATTAATTTTCTTGCGTTAAATCTTCAGTTTTCTAGATGTCTTTTATCTTTTTTTTTTTCTTTTATCCTCTTCGCCACTGATCGGCTTGTTAGCCGCTTGGGCGATCGGTCACGTCTCTTTTCCTTTATATTCTTCACCAATAGGTCGGCTCGCTAGCCGCCCGGGCGATCGGTCACGTCTCTGTCACGCACTGTTGGCAAATACTGGGCATGCACCGGCTCCTGAATGTACCTGAACCCGCTCCAGTGTTGGTCAAGTCTTCTCTTGAAAGAGCTCACACTCGGTGCCGTCACAACACTCTCTGGTAGATTGTTCCAAGAGTTTACAACCCTCACTCCGAAAAAGTTTGCCCTCACGGTTTTCTGGACTTGCGGCTTCTTCAATCTTGAGCTGTGACCCCTTGTGGGGCGAGCGTCCGCCAGCTCCAAGTAAGGACACTCAACTGAGTAGTGCCCCCTGAGATGCTTATAAACCTCAACTAGGTCCCCCTTGCCCGTCTGTAGTATAAGCTAGGCAAGTTCAGGCGCTCCAATCTCTCAGGGTAGCTGAGATGCCGAAGTGCAGGCACCAGTTTGGTGGCCCTCCTTTGAACATTTTCAACCAACTGACAGTCCCTAGCATATCTCGGGGACCAGATGGGGTGACAGTACTCCAGATGGGGAAGCACTTCACTCCTGAAGATCGTCACGAGGGACGGACCGTCTAGATATCTGAACGACCTTCTTATAAGACCCAATAATTTATTTGCCTGATTTACCTTCTTCTCACAATGGCCCGAGAACTTCAGCTCATTGTCAACATACACACCTAGGTCCTTCTCACACACAGTCTCAACTAGTACATTTTCTTCATCCCGTTGGGACATATGGTACGCCTCCTTACCGTTGGCACGCCCCAGGTGCATCCTCTTACACTTCGTGACATTGAATCTCAGCAGCCATTCCTTCGACCATTCCTGGAGCCCACAGAGGTCCTTCTGCAGCTCTTCACAGTCCGCTTGGTTCTTAATTTCCCGAAATAACTTGGCGTCATCGGCAAACATTTGTATGGAGGAGTGTACAACGTCAGGCATATCATTTATGAAACAAACAAACAACAGCGGGCCCAATACACTACCCTGCGGTACCCCACTTGTTACAGGTACAGATGACGATTTCGTGCCATTAATCACCACACATTGCTTGCGGTCATGTAGAAAGTCTTCTATCCACGCTAGGACATTTCCCCGAATTCCGTACCCTTCCAGTTTGATTTTCAGCCTTTCGTGGGGTACACTGTCGAAAGCCTTGGCAAAATCTAGGTAAATATTGTCGATATTACCACCCCGTTCTAGAATATGGGTCCAAATATCCAATACCTTGAGCAATTGTGTCAAGCAAGAGCGCCCCGGCATAAAACCGTGTTGGCAATCTTTTACAAGGTTGTTTCGTAGTAGATGTTCCATCGCTGCATCTCTGATAATACTCTCAAGTACTTTACATATTATGCTGGTCAGGCTCACCGGTCTATACTTGTTCGTGGAGTGCCTATCGCCCTTCTTGAAGATAGGACTCACATAATAGGCGAGTAAGATAACAGGTTAGGCTTGGTTAGGTCAACACATGATTTCAGCCATTTTTATTTTATTTTTACACAACCTAATACAGTATTCCCCATTGAAATCAGTGAAACGGGGTATTTTTAACCCATTTTAAGTGATAAAACAGCGGATGGTTACGTCCTGAATAATGACCGTTGACACCGACTCACCAACACGAGCAGTTACATAGCAAGTTTGATAGCAAGTTTGGTTGATTTTTTTACCAGTCAATGTATCAGTAACTCAGTTACGGGACAATTATACATCCCGACACACATTTCTTGGGACAACGAGAAAATCCCTAGAGTAAACAGAGCTGCCACCAGGAATTACCCCCAGAGAACAACAGACTATACACAACTACTTATGTCTGAGGCACCTACGGAGGAAAACAACAGTTCGTCACGTCAAATTTACAGTCAAAATATATGAAGTCCTGTATATATTAAAATAATTAATCAAATTTGCACAAAAAATAGTCACAAACCTGTAGTCTGGTAGCCTGTTATCTCTTCTGCGGGACCCGGTCCTCCACGTCCACTGACAGCCACCAGGGTTGCCAGATGTACGACAAGCTTCACGGCCAAAACTCGCGCTATCTCTCGGCCAAATCTTTTTGGATGGGAAGCACAAGGCTATTTTAGCAGTCCACACAAAATAAAAGTCTCCCCTACAATACCCACTTAAAATGTCGCAATAAAACCAAATTTTCACTTAGAATTCAGAGCCCAATAATTACAGAAGCATAATATCTGTAATCTACAGTGAAGATTGACCTAAATCTCAAATGGTGGTGGAGCATGATGACGGTGGAGAACTTGATAACACCAGTTGACGTAAACAAAAACGTCTAGTTCATCATCGTCCCCTGGTTCTTCCTTCTCATACATGTTTGCAGAGTTGAATAGCTCCATCATGTGAGGTGTTACTTTGAAATCTCGGCAACATTTTCCTTGGAACTGGAGCATTTTCACTTCCATCACTGGCTATACTGTAGCGTACTGTATGTGGCCAGTTGTCAATTCTCTTTAGTTGTCTATTTTCACTTTGTATGGCCACACAAACGTGCGTACATGTAGATATCTCACACTCAGGAATGAGGTAGAATAGAAACTCACTATGCGCTTTCTGTATATATATTGTTGTAGTTGTACAGTGCAGTGCTTACTAGTGACTAGGTGAGGAGTAGCTTGCTCAGAGGTCCTGTAGGGCGAGGAGGTTTCTGAGGAAGCTGGGTGGTGAGCTGTTGAGAAATGTTGCTGGTCCGGTAGCCGAGTGTAGAATGAGTTCCCCGGTCGTTGTTGTTGTTGTTGAGATTGTCGGACCGTAGTTCGACACGGGCCTTTGCCTATAGGCGGCCGGTTGGTGGTTCCGGCTGGAGCTCCTGGAGCAGCCAGACCGAATTGGGATTGGAGGTGGTCCCACCTGCAGATTTGGAAGGATACTGCAGGTTGCAAGTGTGAGCGGACCCCAGAGCAGTGGACGCTTACCACCAACCCCCACTCTTGGACGTGGTCAGTTTCGGAGTGGCGCGCCCCCCGAACTGGGGTCCGCACTCCCTGGGAGAGGATACTTTCTAAGCTATCTGGGTGGTGGGTATCGTGTGATGACCCGGAGAAGGTGGTGAATGTGGTTTGTTTGGGCCTTTCGGGTTAGAGTGGCCGCTGGTGTTGTGTGTGCTTCTTGGAAGTTTCGAATTCTGTTTCGGAGACTTTGTGTGACTTCACAGTCGAGGAGATGGTGTTCCAGTGGGTTGGCCGCTGGCTCCTGACAGTAGGTGCATTCCCCGACGACATTTCCGATCATCTGCCAGGAGCACTTGTACCCTAGTCGTAGTCGATGAAGGCTAACTTGGGTTTGTCTTGGTGTTTTCTTGTCTGCGAAAGGTGGTTCCCCTTTTGTGGCCACCAGGTACCATTTGGCTGATTGGGAACCAGCGTTGAATGCGTGAAGGAAGCTCTTTTGGATGTGGAACTTGCTAGTCTTTCTGAGGTGATTCTTGATCTGTTGCACACTTGCTGGAACTTGAATGTGTACGCTACTAGAACGTGTGGCTGCCTTGGCTGCTTCGTCTGCCACGTCGTTTCCCCCGATCCCTACATGACTGGGAATCCAGTGTAAGACGACTGGGCGGTTTTGTCTTTGGAATTCCTGTAGCTGTGCGAGGATCGAGGTCATGATGTGGACGTTGTCTCTTGGTTGACTGTGTTGCAGCGCCTGCATGGCCGATTTCGAGTCCGTGTGAATTATGATGGGCTTGTTGTGTTGTGTTGCAGCGTGTTGTAGGGCCTTTGAGATTGCTACCAGCTCTGTTTGTAGGGTGGAGCAGTCATTAGAAAGTCTCCATCGGAGGGTCTGACCTTGGGTGTAGAAGGCCGCTCCGGATGTATGATGTTTTGGATCCACCGAGCCGTCTGTGAAGTATGATGCTGCATCAGCCGGTGTCTCGGTGGCTATGGCTTCCAGAGCGAAAAAAGGAAAAATAGCAGTAGAAGGAAAAGGGCTTAAACCACGTCAGGAATATCGCGCTATAGCTGCTCTCCAGCTGGAGTGTGGGTCACTCACACCACCAGTGGGGACGGCAAGCTAATGCTCGATAAACCGAAAACGCTCATGAGTTGTTGTCGACGATGTCAGTGGTGGATGGTCCGGTCCGGGAAGATGGCCAACAATGGCAGCAGAGAGAGGGCGGTCTTCACAGTTCCAGGTCCAGCAGGTGGTCTTGTTGAGAGGTCTTCTTAGTTCAGGAGCGATGTGTGTGATGAGTGTTCCCCGGTCAGCCGGGCCGTATTTATGTGATTTAGGAAACTCAGGATATGAGGTGCTCGTAGCACGAGGGCCAATCACAGGAGCGGAAGCATAAGGTGAGAAACACTCTGATCCTGAGCTGGAAGTTGAAGGTCGAGACTAGGTCGGCGATCGTACCCCTATGTCCACTGCATAGACCTAGTCTCTCGGCGCTCTAACCCTCTCTCACCATGAACGGTTACGAGTTTGATAACGTGGCACGGATACGTCCGGATACGCCGACCTGCCCCAAGAAACTAAACCTCCTAGTTCTCAAGAAGTTCTTTGAAACTAATGAGATCATGGGGGTCACCAAGGTGGAACGACTGAAGCTCCATGGTGACATCAAGATCACCTTCGCCGAGAAGGGCATGCCCGTACAGCTCGCGGAGATCCCAGACATCAACGGCATTCTATTTAAAATGATTGCCTTCAAGTGGAACAACCTGAAGCTGGGAGTGATCTCCCACGCCGAAATTGTCCACGTGGACCAAGCAGAGCTGAGTGAGCTCCTCAAGGGGCAACTCCAAGTTGTCAAGAAGCTGTCCGACACCACTGCCCTCTTCGGACACCATACAACCTTACCCAAGGAGGCTCAACTGGCGTGGGTAACTGTGCCAGTCAAGCCCTACTGCAGACCGAAACGCTGTTACAAATGCCAGCACTACGGACACACTGTCAACAAGTGTGAGGCTCAGGAGGACACCTGCTCCCTGTGCGGCAGCCCCGGACACCGCTACACTGTCTGCCCCAACACAGTAAAAAAATGCGCTGCCTGTGGCAGCCCACATTCCTCCGCCAATCGGACCTGCCCGAAATGGAAGGAGGAATGCAGGATAGCCAAGGCTCGACTCGACAAGAAACTGAGCTACAACGACCACACCAGTACTTACCTCCGAACTTGTAAGCCGGGTCAACGCCCCTCAGCCGAGCAATACCTCACAAGACATCAGGGACCTGTTGCAAACCTTGAACTGCAGGATGAACACCATTGAACAGTTCTGCTCCTCCATGCCAGCTGCTGGGCCTGTTCCTAACCCACGCACCGCGCCCTACAATCCCCGACGCGCCCTCCCTGCCCCGGAAACCGCCGCCATCCCCCAGCACAACGAATATACCCTATGCTGGTATCACCGGCGTTTCGGCCCCAATGCTCAACGCTGTGAGCCCCACTGCACCTACTCGGGAAACGGCAACAACGGAGGTTGGTAGACGCCCCAGCCCCTGTCCCTTCAGGCGTCTCACTACTGCACGTCACCGACCGCACCTCCGGCACGAAATTCCTCGTCGACACAGGTTCATCAGTCAGTATCATCCCTCCCTCACGACAAGACACGTCAAGGTAACCCTCTTATGACCTGTTTGCCGCCAACGGTACCCCTATCGCCTTCTATGGCGCATGTTCCCTCGCCTTAGACCTCGGTCTTCCCAAGACTCTGCGCTGGTCATTCGTAGTCGCGGACGTGTCTCAACCCATCGTTGGCTTCGACTTCCTCACTTTCTACAAGCTCGGAGTCGACCCAACCCACCTTCGCCTCATCCATGAGCCTACAGCACGCAAGATCCAGGGTTCACGTGCCAAAGACACCGACACTATCACCTGTCTTTCGCCATCCAACGAGTTCTCCCCCTTGCTCGAAGAGTTCAAGGAACTTTTCTCACCCCGAGTCTCTCCACCCCCACCACCTACGTCGGGAATTTTCCACCACATCGAGACCAAAGGACCTCCAGCCTTCTCACGCCTCCGACGCCTGCGCCCTGAGCTCCTGAACGCAGTCAAGGTGGAATTCAACAGACTACTGCAAGACGGCATCATTCGTCCTTCAAAGAGTCCCTGGGCATCGCCTCTTCACATGGTTTTTAAGCCATCGTCCAGCGACTGGAGGGTGTGTGGCGACTACAGAGCCCTGAACCTCGTCACCAAACCTCACAGGTACCCTATTCCGCATGTCCAGGACTTCCACCACAAACTTCATGGCAAGACAATCTTCTCGAAGATCGACTTGGAGCGTGCCTTCCACCAGATCCCTGTAGCACCTACAGATACCCAGAAGACAGCCATCACCACTCCGTTCGGACTCTTCGAGTATACTTTCATGAGTTTTGGCCTACGCAATGCAGCACAGACTTTCCAGAGGTACATGGACCATATGCTTCGCTACCTCGATTTTGTCACTGTCTACATAGACGACATCCTCGTCGCATCTTCGACGCCTGCCGAGCATCATCACCACCTACAACTCCTCCAAAGCCTGCAGAACAACAACATGAAAGTTCACTCTGCTAAGTGCATCTTCGGAGCCCCATCCATCGATTTCCTCGGTTACAGAGTCTCGCCAAGTGGCATCCAACCCCTACCACAGAAGATAACTGCCATCAGGGAGTTCCCCAAACCTGAAATGGCGAAGAAACTCCGAGAATTCCTGGGTTTAGTCAACTACTACCACCGCTTCATTGACAACGCTGCCACCGTCCTAGTTCCCCTCTACGACCTTCTCAAGGGATTCCCAAAGAAGTTCCACAAGCATCTCGTGTGGACTCAAGAGGCTGTTACGGCATTCACCACTATCAAACAGCACATCACACGCCTTACCCTCCTAGCCCACCCCGCACCTAACGCCCGGACCACTCTCACAACAGACTCTTCTCCTACTGCAGTGGGCGCCGTCTTACAGCAGGAGATCAACGGAGTTCTCATGCCCGTTGCATTCCTCTCATAATGGCTTCAACCACCACACCTCAAATACAGCGCCTTCGATCGAGAACTCCTGGCTGTATACCTGGCTGTCAAGCATTTCGAGCAATTCCTCGAGGCCTGTCAGTTCACCATCTTCACTGATCACAAGCCCCTCGTCCACGCCTTTACTTTGGCCTCATAGTCACATACACCTCGTGTCCTGCGCCACTTGGAGTATATCTCGGAGTTCTCCAGCGACGTCCAACACACTAAAGGCAGCCATAATGAGATCGCCGACGCCCTCTCTCGTTGTATATCCAACATTCTCCCTTCATCTCCACCCATCGATTACGGACAACTCGCCGCGGCTCAAGAAAATGACGAAGACCTGGCAGCATACAAGACATCTCCCTCAGGCCTCACACTCCAAGAACTCCCAATCCCCAGCACGAACATCAAATTATGGTGTGACGTATCCTGTGGGCAGCCAAGACCATTCGTGCCTCACGTCCACCACCGCGCTGTTTTCGACCGCATCCATGGTCTCAGCCACCCGGGTGTGCAGGCCTCCCAGCACCTCCTCACGCAACGCGTCGTCTGGCCCGGCATCAAGACCAATACTAGGAAATGGGCTGCCCAGTGCCTGGCCCGCCAGTCCTCCAAAATACATCATCACACACAGGCCCCTTTAGAAACCTTCCCTATACCCAAAGGACGTTTTCAAGTAGTGCACCTCGACATAGTGGGACCTCTTCCATAATCCTGCGGTAGCACTTACATCTTCACCTGCATCGACCGTTTCACCAGGTGGACAGAAGCCATCCCCATGCCAAATGCAACAGCAGAGTCTGCCATCCACTCCTTCATGTCCGGTTGGGTTTCCCGCTTCGGCCGACCGAGGAGCCCAGTTTGAATCATAACTCTGGCACAACCTCCTACAGTTCTTCGGCACGACTAGGCAACGCACCACCGCATACCACCCTCAATCCAACGGCATGGTAGAGCGGTTTCACCGGCAGCTGAAGGACGCACTCAAAGCACAGCTAGATGGATGCGCTACCCTTAGTGCTCCTCGGCATCCGTGCTTCACACAAGGAGGATATGGACTGTAGCCCAGCAGATCTCACCCTAGGCGAGCCCCTTCGCCTACCCGGGGATTTCTCACTCCCTCCTGACCTCCACCAAACCACTCCAGCCGTTCGTCACGACTTACTCCAAAAGCTACGACAAGCAGTTTCTGCATTCAGAGCTACTGCTCCACGCCAGCCTCCTCGGCGCCCTGAACACATCCCTCCTGCACTACTCACAGCCGAGTATGTTTTCGTCAGGCATGATGCTCACCGCAACCCATTACAACGCCCCTACGATGGACCCTTCCAGGTTGTTACCCGTTCAGCGAAGTTCCTGACGATTATGCGGAATGGCAGACACGACACCGTCAGCATAGACTGAGTCAAGCCGGCCACCTTACCCGTTAAGCCCCCGACCCAGCAGCACCACCAACAAACGACGCCTGCACCAGTCTACCTGCAGTTGCCACTGGCAGCAACACCCCGCCCACGACATTTCTGGGCTCTCTCTTTTCACCCTCAGGTACCCCCTGCTCCTGTCCTGGACCCTGCTGCCATAGTAGAACCTGCTCCTATCATAGACCCTCCTCCTGTTGTGAACCCTGCTGCTGTCATAAAACCTGCTCCTGTCATAGAACCTGCTCCTATCATAGACCCTCCTCCTGTCGTGAACCCTGCTGCCGTCATAGAACCTGCTCCTGTCATAGAACCTGCTCCTGTCATAGAACCTGCTCCTGTCATGGACCCTCCTCCTGACGTCGCCCCTGACCCAGTCAACCCAGCCAGGGCTCCTGAGGAAGCTGCCCCAGCCGCGATAGAAGCACAACAACCATTGCCTGTACAACTTCCTCTAATCCAAAACCCTCTTTCGCCCCCTGATTCCCCCACAGGTTCTGTGTCACTAGACGGAGTCGTCACCCGCAGCAGCCGAGTTGTACGTACACCTGCCCGGTATGTATCACGTGTGGGACGCAACCCGGCCAACACCAGTCTCCCGTCGCGCCCGGAGGGGAGGGGGAGTATTGTAGTGGATTCCTCCCCTACAAACGCCGTGTGTCGCTGACTAGCCGACCCCCTGCGAATCTCCCAGCGTATCCCTCGTGGTCAAGGTCAGGTAACCAGCGACGCCGAACAAACAAAGCGGGGGCCTACCATCAAGCCAAACCTACCCCCGCTATATAAGACCTCACCTGGCCGTCATCGACCTCTTTCTACTTACCACCACCAGCAAGCAACATCTCTCAACAGCTTCACTTCACACCACACGCTTCCTCAGAAAGCTCCTCGCCCTACAGGAACTCTGAGCAAACTTCGCCCGACCTAGTATCTCTTTAACACTGTGCTGTGCAACAATATATATATACGGGAAACACATTGTGACTTTCTATTCTACCTCAATCCTGAGTGTTGGATATATTACATGTACGTACGTTGTGAGGCCAAATAAGAGACCCTGACAACCTGCCACAACAGTACGCTACAAGGTCACTGATTAGGTGAGGTCATGACAAGGTGAGGTCACTGAGCCAGCGTTTTCATTGAGAAATTTGAAAATCTGCTAGATTTAGTCTTAAAAATCCACTAGATGAGGAATTAATACGTGTTTTACAAAATTCGGCCAAATAGTTTGGCAGTGACCATCTATTTTCCACGGCCAAACGAATTTTGTTACGGCCAAAGTAGAGAAGTTTGGCCGTGGAAACGGCCATTTGGCAACCCTGACCACCACTACAGCAAGCACAAGTACTCATCAAGTCATCATGATTTATGAAGTGCGTAGAACTTCTGTATATTATGGATGCCGGGGGATTTATTTATTTTTTTTAGCCCACCCGGGCACAGGTCATTGACCAACATCGGGGCCTGGGGGGGCGTAAATGTAATAATAATAATGATAATAAAAAAAATCATGTGCCATGTGATAAAATTTCTCAATGTATTTATTTTAAATGTCAAAAGAATTTTAATGAAATGTGACCAAGTTCCAATAATTATGTGGTTTTCTGGGAATGCTTTTCCTCACATTTTGTGAATATCAAATTCTGACTCGAGTTAATTCAAAACCCAAGATACCTTAATTGCTGCTCTGAAATGCGAAAAAGTAAAAAAAAAAATATGAAAAAAAATCGCCCATAAACCTGGTAAGTTTAGGTTATATAGGACATTAGATCATAAAAGGATCTGGGGTCTTGGAGGTTCATTCTTCACGGATGACCTGTTGGCGCTTTCCGACTTCTTAATGACTGACTGCCCACCTCCCACAACTCTAGGGGTCAGCGTCCAGATGACCTATTTCTAACCAGTTACCTGGCCGAGCCAAGGTAGGTAGATACCAGGTAGCCTCACTCCCATAGGATCTACGCTAATGAAAATAAAACTGAAATTTTTATTTACGTATTTTTGAAGGCTTATGATGGTATTAAAAGTTGTACAATAAATGTATGGAATGGAGATTTTTTTTTTTACTTTAATTGGAGCCACTGATTAAATATATAAAATAAATAAAAATATTTTACTTGCGACCGCTGTATTCCATGCTTCGTCGATGATTGGCTAGCGATGACATCACTTATTAAGCTCCGCCTACTTAGTTACATCAACTGTAGCAGATAATAATACCTCAATATGCATGAAGTGGCAAAAGGGGCCTGGCTTAACGATCTCGAGAGTAGAGTTGCCAATTAATGGATTCATGTGGGCCTGCGTGAGGCTACCTTGGGCCGAGCCTCTTTGTATTTATTTGCTTGTCTCAAACATCAAGTTTAGTCATACAAATGGATGTACAAACCCATTTGACTAGGAACAGCCAATGGTTCATTCGTCATTTATATCCCCATATGGATGTAAGCAATTTCTTTAAAAAGATCAGCAACTATACAAAGATCAATTGAAAAACTCACAAACGCACTCATGTGCAGATCGCCGAGCCTCTTTGAGTCACATCTATCAACAAACCCAATTGGCTAATTGGTAACTTTCCTTACTTAAACTACAGTGAAGTTGTTTTAACCATTAAATAGTTGACATAACTTAAATTCCATAAACTGTTTCAAACTTCAAATGAACCTTAATTATATAGTGGAAAAGTAAGTGTAATAATTTATTTCCTCAGCAGAATAAATGGCCTATATATTTTGATTGGCTACTGTTGACCTGGGTGGGCTGTGGCCTGTGAGTGGGTGTATAGACAGTCCCACCTCCCATCAGTGAGGTTCGCCATTACCAGAGGAGGACACTGAAGTACAAGGACACCTTCAGTCTCGATGTGAGTGAAGTTGACTGTTCATTTACCTGTATCTGTACATGTGATACAATATTATGGTCACAATAAAAGTCCTACGCTCTTTAATAACCTGGATATTTTTTAATATCATAATTACACCTGTACTGTATCTGTACCTTAACACGAGTTTTATCTCATAATTTTTAATTGTTGGTGGAATAGTGTAATTACTAACTTTTTTATGCTCTTAAAGACCTTCAGTTGTTGTTCATGAACTAATGTGTTTCCAGACGCTGCTGAACAAGTCATCATGTTATGCTTACGTCTAGGAGTATTGATTATACTGGTTGTCCTGGTCTATCCTTGGCAACTGTATGGCAGCTTCCAAGACACTGGCAAAGCAGGCAGCTTGAAGAACCTCAGTACCTGGCGACCAACCCCAATGCTGCAGTCTGAGTTTAAGGATGTAGTACATTCAGAAATAAAGTCCGTGGTCTACTTTGTCAAGCCTGAGCACTCAGTCACTAGCAGCGTCAACGTTACCGCTTGGCCATTCAATATGGTTGCTCCTTCTTTTTAACATGAAAAAATAATTTACACGTTAAATTATCAGAGTACATTGTGCCCTAACAATTTCAGCGGAAGGGTAGCTAAGAATATTTTTTCTAAATTATTATTTTTTCAAAACTGTATTTCCTTTTCTAATAGTGCCTATGTAATTTTTAGATAAGGCCGAACTGTTTGCCAAATTGAAATTTCTTGTTCGTATCTGTACTGTACTTTATATTTGGTAATTTCAAGCAAAAGTCACGACTAAGATGAAAGACAACAATATGGCAACAAAAATATAATTGTCTACCGGAATTTGTATCTTATTTTGACAATCCTTAAATTCCCTGCTGACATTCAGTCCTTCGTTTCTAATTATTTACATGTATGTAGTGGACTATTTTCAGTATTGATGATTACTTCATTAATATGCTGTTTTGGGGTGATAAACAATTGTGTAGTGGATAGATTATGTTCACACAATGAACTACACGAGTTATGGAGCAAATGGTGGATTTAATTTTCTCAATTTGTTAAAAAAAAATAATAATCACGGGTTGTACGGCCTGGGAAGAGATTTGGATGTCTACCAAATATTATGCATGGCCCACATAAGGGAAACCATTGCATGGTTTTAATTCCAGGCCCCTCTGCAAATCTCAATTATCCTGAAAAGAACTTGGCCCAAACTGCGAACAGTTTGCCGTTAGGACACGGGATGGGCTTACAGGCCTCGAAAACTGATACTTCCAAGGAGTAAGCTAAAACCTACACTTATTAAACATGTTCATATAATTATCATTTTTCTTGTAAATCAATCGAATAATATATTGGGGTAACTGCAGAAGTAAATCGTGTAACATATGATAATAGTCAAACAAATACATGTAATGTCAAAGTTAATTTCCTTGGTATGCACCATGCATAGTCTTTATGGGTTTTATACTTGTAATATAGTTTCGAGGACTGTCTTCAAATAAGATCGCCTTTATTGACATCCACGATAGGACACAGTGAAATTGTTTTATCTGCATGTGTGAGAAAACAGAAATCTTGGTTCGACAACCATTTTCTTTAAAGGTTGATTCTGATTCCCTTTACATTACAACAATAGGCACTGACTTGACTTTAAGAATACTGTAAGTATCCATAATCGGCTCACAGGGTTAATGACCATGGGGCAGAATTCACTAAATGCTGTATATGTTTGGAGGTTCTAGTAGAGTGTAGAACACTCTTCACCTCAGGAATTGGCAAACACTCGTTCCATTCTAATATTACTGTACTCTTAAGTTAGGCGTATCTTATTCATCTGTTTTTCAACGTATTAGAACGACACTGATTGTATAAGAAATTACTAGAACTTGAAAAGTTGCATTGGTAAGAATGTGGAGTACTGACCGAGTTGATGTTTTGCCTCACTTAGGCGTGGTGAGGTAGCTTGTTGACCTCACTGGTCAGGTCGACCAGATACGAGGTGACTCCTGAATCGATCACGGCCACCTGGTGGGTCACAACTGCCTCACCACACCCACACCAGGGTGGGTCACAACTGCCTCACTACACCCACACCAGCGTGGGTCACAACTGCCTCACTACAACCACACCAGGGTGGGTCACAACTGCCTCACCACACCAGGGTGGGTCACAACTGCCTCACTACACCCACACCAGGGTGGGTCACAACTGCCTCACCACACCAGGGTGGGTCACAACTGCCTCACCACACCAGGGTGGGTCACAACTGCCTCACTACACCAGGGTGGGTCACAACTGCCTCACCACACCAGGGTGGTCACAGCTGCCTCCACCACCCACACCAGGGGTGGGTCCCAACCTCTTCACCACACCTGGGGTGGGTCACCTTCTTCACCACACACACCCCACACCAGTGTGAGTCACTTCTTCCCACCACACCAGGTGGTCTGTGCCTCCCCACCACACCAGGGGTGGATCTGGCCTGCCTCACCACACCCCACACCAGGGTGGGTCACAACTACTTCCACCACCCCACACCAGGGGTGGGTCACAGCTATCTCACCACACACCCACACAGGGTGAGTCTGGCTAACTGCCTCACTACACCCACACCAGGGTGGGTCACAACTGCCTCACCACACCCACACCAGGGTGGGTCACAACTGCTTCACCACACCCACACCAGGGTGGGTCACAACTGCTTCACCACACCCACACCAGGGTGGGTCACAACTGTCTCACCACACCCACACCAGGGTGGGTCACAACTGCCTCACCACACCCACACCAGGGTGGGTCACAACTGCCTCACCACACCCACACCAGGGTGGGTCACAACTGCCTCACTACACCCACACCAAGGTGGGTCACAACTGCCTCACCACACCGGCACACCTCCACTAATGTGGGTCACAACTGGGGATGCATGAATTAAATTCTTTAAGATCAATTGTAATAACTTTTCCCGGATTTCAATAACAATTACAACAATACATGTATAAATTACTTTACAATTCCTCCACTTACCTTCCAATTAAAATTATAGTCGACCTGAACTAGTATACCCGAAAATTAATGACATTTTCTACAATTACATTCTGAACGTTCTAGGTAGGGCTGGGCAAGAATCGTTAAAATTGGAATCGACGGTTCCGATTCTCAGTGCCAATGGAATCGCTGGAATCGATTCCTCAAAGTAAGCAAATACTGTCATATAGTTATAGGGGGCAGCACGACTAAAAGGCCTCCCTCATGCTTCGCGGTCACGGGACTGCTAATCTCTGTCATATCATCACTACTGTCTTGGAAGGACAGCATGTAAATGTATTAAATATTTAAATTTTATTTTATTTGGGGGATACAATAAACTTAAGAAAGTAATGAAGGATGTTTATTCCTTACTTCTTTGGTAAGTAAAATATTTATATTTTTTTGTAATTACCAAAATCTAATTTCCTTTAAAAATAATATAAATAATTTGGAAATAAACATGTACTGTACTTCTTATCTGTTTACTTTACATAAATATAATTTCCTTAGTATAAAAATAATGCCAATCATTTTGGAAATAAATACACAACTTTGATCATTATTATAAACATTACTCCTTCACAACTTCACACATACACTAATGCCAATTGTTGATCAATCATAATTAATTGAAGCCTATATTGGGAACGTAATACAGGTTTTATTCAAACACATTCATGCAGCTGTGTAATCATAAAAAACCCAAAAAACTATACGTTACAAAGATATTTGTTATCAGTCTAACCTCTTAATTAATTAGAATTAATAATTAACAAAAGTGTCTCTTTCCGAAAGAAATGACTGCAAAACACAAGGAGTGTCTCCTTCATGTTCTTTTTTTTTTTTTTTTATCCTCTTCGCCACTGACCGACTTGTTAGCCGCTTGGGCGATCGGTCACGTCTCTTTTCATTTATATTCTTCACCAAAAGATCGGCTCGCTAGCCGCCCGGGCGATCGGTCACGTCTCTGTCACGCACTGTTGGCAAATACTGGGCATGCACCGGCTCCTGAATGTACCTGAACCCGCTCCAGTGTTGGTCAAGTCTTCTCTTGAAAGAGCTCACACTCGGTGCCATCACAACACTCTCTGGTAGATTGTTCCAAGAGTTTACAACCCTCACTCCGAAAAAGTTTGCCCTCACGGTTTTCTGGACTTGCGGCTTCTTCAATCTTGAGCTGTGACCCCTTGTGGGGCGAGCGTCCGCCAGCTCCAAGTAAGGACACTCAACTGTGTAGTGCCCCCTGAGATGCTTATACACCTCAACTAGGTCCCCCCTTGCCCGTCTGTAGTATAAGCTAGGCAAGTTCAGGCGCTCCAATCTCTCAGGGTAGCTGAGGTGCCGAAGTGCAGGCACCAGTTTGGTGGCCCTCCTTTGAACATTTTCAAGCAACTGACAGTCCCTAGCATATCTCGGGGACCAGATGGGGTGACAGTACTCCAGATGGGGAAGCACTTCACTCCTGAAGATCGTCACGAGGGATGGACCGTCTAGATATCTGAACGACCTTCTTATAAGACCCAATAATTTATTTGCCTGATTTACCTTCTTCTCACAATGGCCCGAGAACTTCAGCTCATTGTCAACATACACACCTAGGTCCTTCTCACACACAGTCTCAACTAGTGCATTTTCTTCATCCCGTTGGGACATATGATATGCCTCCTTACCGTTGGTACGCCCCAGGTGCATCCTCTTACACTTCGTGACATTGAATCTCAGCGAAGTGTAAGAGGATGCGTATCCTGAAGGCACTAGTTGAGACTGTGTGTGAGAAGGACCTAGGTGTGTATGTTGACAAGGAAGAGGATCATATTCACTTTTTTTTCCTTTAGACAGCTACGTCTTTGGGATACTAGTTCGCCAGCCTTAGAAAAAAGCTTTTCTGAGGGCACTGATGATGTTGGAGAAATGAGGAACATTTTCGCTTGTTCTTGGAGTTTGGGGAAAAGTGAGGCATGTTTTTTCTACCATTCCAGCGGATCTTCTTCTCTGGGAACTGGGGATTCTTCCATATATCATCTCATTTCAATATATAAGGCCCTGTAGACAGGTGTGTTGAAGAGACGAGTGCAATTTTTTCAACCTTGGCATCGAATTTAGCCTAGAGTGAGCTTTTCTTTGGTTGTGTTGTAACAGTTTGTGAGGAACCTGGGGACTCTGCTTCTACTGACATGCTTGTAGATGGTTCTTGAACTTCTGTTGTTTCTGCATGCCCAGTACTTGCCAACAGTGCGTAACAGAGAAGTGACCGATCGCCCAAGCGGCTAACGAGTCGATCAGTGGTGAAGAGGATAAAAGTACGTACAGTACTGTAAATGTAACGGCTACGCGCCAGTGCTGCGCCACAGGACAGGACAGGGTAGGACGGTCGACAACTCACTCTCACTGTAGTGTTAGTGGAATCGCTTCATGGGAACAGGTTCCCAAATTGGGAACCGATTCTGAGGAAGCTCATCAGAATTGCAGGAATCGATTCCTGCCCAGCCCTAGGGCTGTGATCACAAGAGCAATAACAGAGACTTTTCTTTTCTTTTTCTTTTATCCTATTTACCAAAAGATCAGCTTGGGCAATTGGCCACATCTCTGTCACGCACTGTTGGCAAGTACTGGGCATGCACCGGCTCCTAAATGTACCTGAACCTGCTCCAGTGTTGGTCAAGTCTTGTCTTGAAAGAGCTCACACTCGGTGCCGTGACAACACTTTCTGGTACTGTAGATTGTTCCAAGAGTTCACAACTCACACTCCGAAAAAGTTTACCCTCACAGTTTCCTGGACTTGCGGCTTCTTCAATCTTGAGCTGTGA